TTGGACCTTCCTCCATATAGTCCCGATCTAAGTCCTAACGATTTCTTTACTTTCCTGAAAATTAAAAACAGACTGCGTGGTCAAAGGTTCCAGTCACCAGAAGAAGCAGTTGACGCATTCAAAAATGCCGTTTTGGATCTGCCAGCAAACGAGTGGAATAAGTGCTTCGAAAATTGGTTCGAGCGCATGCAGATCTGTACTAATCTTCGTGGAGAATACTTCGAAAAACAACAAAAACATTTAAAGCTAGCTACAGTGTTGTTTTATTTCTATATGCAAAACTTAAAACACATCCCTCGTACCCCATCCCACATCAATAGAATGGAGAGCTTCTGGCTTCCACGTCTAGACCAGGTTGCGGGAAAACTACGGCAATTGTGTAAAGAGAGAAATCTGACGTCTAATATAAAATCTAGGGGTAATACTGGTACAGATGAGCTTTTGCGTCAGTAAGACGTGGAAACGGAGTGGGAGCTACACCTGTCATCGTCCTGATTTTGGTTGAAGTATTCGGTGTTTCTGAAATTTCACTTCTAGAAGTAACCCAGGGATCTGATGAAGGGACTCAGGACGCCGCTCCCACTAATTCTGAAGCTTACCCTGGTGGTCGTCACTGGAAAGCTGTCATTCCAATCAGCATCGATAAATAATGCATCATGCATTGTGTGCTTAGATTAGGGTAGGACCTTTGTCGGGAAGAAATACATGTATGGTTTTTCACCTTGAAGTTTCTTACCTTACAGTGTGATAAGAGACCAACATAATATAATTGTTTGAGCTATCAGTCTCTTACCCAAAATGTTACTAATCATGCAGACATATGATGGTTCTTGAAGGGCATTTACAGGCTGAGGCCATCTCAAGTGAAATATAGATACTGTGGTTGTTCTCAACCAACCAAAAGGGTTACTGGTAAGCTCTGTAAATATTTGGAAGAGGAAATCGGCAACACTGCTAGTCTTAACCTCAAGTCAGAGTGTGCAAACTAATTGAAACAGACAACGTCCGGATTGGGTTGAATAATATTAAAATTGGGATTTCTCAGTTTTTGAATGTCCCGGGGTTACTAATATGGCAACCACTTTTTACCGTATTTTACGCCCAAGTATCTGTACAGTCAAGGTATTAATTTGTAAGTAACAGTAACTTTATCATGGTGCCTCTGCTCCCAGATAGATGAATTCGGTTTTAGCAGAGATTCTCACAATTGATAGCCCACAGAACATGAAATGCGTCTGCCTCTGCCTCTGCTAAATTATAGTAGTCTGTGGCTCGCGGCGGGCTACAAATCTCTTATGATAAACAATAGCTTTGCTCAAGCGGCATTTTAAGGTGAACCAAGTTTCCACACCTTAAACATAGCTATGTCTATGTTATTACGTTATTTACTTATTACATGTAACGGATGGTATTATTTGAACCAGTGTACGTCATGCGTACAATTTGTGTAGTTGTTTGTTGTGTACAACCTATCGTTTACTATTGCAGAACGTTAGTAGTTTGTTGCAACTAGCTTTGAACATCTACCGTATGTATTTTAAATATCTACTTCGACAAAGACGGAACATAATTACATGATCAAACGAACTTACCTGTAAGTGATATTCGATTTTAATTTTGTGAAGTCCTCGTCGAAGTAAATAGCTTCCTCCCTCCCTATGTATCCCCGAATTGTTGCATGCAGCAATTTGGCTTTGAAGAAAATGAGTGTTTATAGTCGGCCAGAGAGGAGGAAGGTATGAGGGAGAAGCGCGGTGCCGCTTTCCTTCGCTGCGTGCGCGCTTTGATATCGTTGGGGTTTGGTACAACTACGAGGGTACTGCAATATATATTCTAAATGCTTACTTCGACGAGGACCTCACATAATTAAGATCGATCACTTACAGGTAAGTTAGTTAGATCATGTAATTTTATACACATGTAGACCAATACACACAATCATCCAGATGCGAACTTGCTATTCAACCAAATAACCAACTTTTTTCTCAGAGAGTCAGAGATAAAAACTATAGACCACTCGGCTTCACAAAACACATGCAACTACAATGCGTGTATACATGTAGTTGAGCCATTCCTCCATAGATGGACGCTCACAACGATCCGGGTCAGCAAACGAGGGTGACTGTTTGCATCCTAAATACTACCTAGTCTTCAAGATGACATCTTATAGGTTTTTTAACGTTTTACAGGTTGTTTACATAATACTTGTGTGGGAAGCATTTGCGCTTTCCTGATACTGACGTAGGGATCGATACTACTGCGTGTGGGGAACTAGTGATAGGTGGAAGTATCACCTTGTCGCAAGCTAGACGTTATCCAATTAGTTGCACAGTGTTTTTTCAGTTTAGTTCCACAGAAAACTATTTTTTGCTTCTAGATAACGTCTAAGGAATTTTATTATACTGGGGATACATCCAAGGTAAAGGCAAGGTATTTAATCTACCAAAATATTTCTACAGCTTGTGTCGATGAGGAATTTTGTTATTAATGATGTTGAAGTTAAAATCTTTAGTGGCACGTGTTCATCGCCATATACAAATTAAGCTCGATATTTTTGCGTCTTGTGGAAAGGTATACAAATATGTGGTTGAAGGTCGTTTCTTAGACGGGTAGCCGAGTTCTGGGGCTTAAATCAAACATTATTTTCTTCGTCGACTTCTTTCTTTCTTTTTTCATTGTCATTTCTTCTATTTATCCCTATCGCGACAAACCCAGTCTGTAGATTCACTCACTGCTGGCAGGTGCCACGCAGGGTATTACTGAAAGCAATCTAGAGGAAATACTACCAGCATCTACCTCTTTCTAGAAAAATTGAGAGGATATATTAATGTAAAAACATAAGTAAAGAGAAGGTCCGGAATAACGAAGATTTATTTGTTTGAACATGTAACGTTCACCAAACATAAGAATATCTAATAAAAGAATCACAGTACATCTTGCTAAAGACACGTATACAAGAAGGCCACAAAAAAGGTCGCCCCGCATTTGTAACTCTCCTGGTATATTTTTGGAATATTGCTCAGAAAAGTGGGATATAGCGTTACACTTTTGATTTTTAAATAGAAAGCCCCATTTATTTAATTTTCAGATTTAGATAGGGTATGAAAAGAAGCAGGAACTTTACGTTTGTAATTTGTGTTCCTAAGGAATTAATACATCTGTTTTCACGGTACTCTGTACGCTGGCTTAAGAATTAAATCTTAATTGATGGCTGACTCAAAACTGGTAAAAATACTAGGTATTTGGCACCTACTTTTCAAATAACTTTGAACTAATATTTATGAATGTGTAAAGTAAACTACGTTTAACGCTACAAAGTGAATTGTGTATGCTTCTGAAATGTATTTATAAGTATAGTTAATATTTTTCTTGATCAGTAGCAGTAGCAAATGAAATACAAAAACATGAGTTCTGCATATGAAGTAAACGACATTTAGTTTTCAAATCCACTGAATTTGACCTTTCAGATAAACCCAGTATTCTGTTGAAAATCCACAAAACCATAATATGCGGACTTGACATTTTATTGTATGATGTGTATGATGTACCTATGTGTATAACTTAATCAAACGTGTTGTTATGGCGAGAGCGAGTTAAACGTTGCTGTGCTTAAAACGCTAATTCTGGACCTGCATCTTGGGTTTTTCTACATTTTCATCATAATTTTGTGTTGGTCGGGAGAGCCAATTTCATTGCATACACTTAAGCAGAGTACTCTTGTCGTTATACAACTAGATCGCTATACAAATCTGAACAGGGTGTACGATATTAATATTGCCTTTCATTTACACCATTTATGTTGCTTTTTACTACAAAATAATTCAGATAAGTTACAAGGCACTTAATAAAATACACTTAATATAGAAATATGTTCCGCCCTGGAATTTTGAGTTTCTAAAACAGCTTCAGCTCAATTCTAAGCATTATTGTGCGAGATATCAATGAAAATCGGAGTTTTATAAATAAATAATATGAACCATCCATTGGCTCTCTTACATACAGGGTGTCCGCAAAGTTGGGGTTTTCCTTTACACGACGTGTAGATCTTGAAAACATAAGCAATTTTTCTTAGTACCATATATATACCAATGTCTTAAGGGAACCGAGATAAAGGGCTCTGCAACATCAAAAATATCTGAATACCGTCCTGTAGCCGCGACATCACCGACTGGTACAAGGTCACTGGCTCAACCTGACGACAGAACTGGGTCGGGGTCAGTGTGTCAGGTCAGTATGCAACCTCCAACCGACGGTTACGGCCACGCGTGTAGAGGTAATCGCGTAGACGAGAATCCCTCAACAAGCACTAGAGACGTGGCTAGAGAAGTGCAAGTATCAAAAACTAAAGTATTGCAAACGCTGCGTGAAGAGGGGCTGTATCCGTTTCACGTCCAACGTGTACAAGCCCTTCAACCTACCGATTTTCCAGCAAGAGTGCGGTTTTGTGAGTGGTTGTTGCATCAACATGACAATAATTCGGACCTTTTGAAGTGCATATTGGTGACAGACGAATCTACGTTCACGCGTAATGGGGTGAATAACTTTCGCAACACTCATGTTTGGTCAGTAGAAAATCCGCAAGGTGTCTGTCGGGCACATTTTCAACAAACATTTTCGGTGAATGTTTGGGCTGGCATAGTGAACGGTATGCTCATTGGACCATTTATTCTCCCAAATCGATTGGACTGGATGCAATACCTAGACTATTTACGCAACATTTTGCCTTCCTTGTTAGAAGATGTGCCATTAAGTGTAAGACAATCAATGTGGTTTCTGCGTCTGCTCGGTAGCGGATATATATAAGATGGCGCGCGAGTGGTAGTGATCCTAGTCTGTGGTGCTCTCTCATATTTTTACCAGAAAAGTCCGTCTCTGAAGAAATTAAATAATATATTTATGTTAGACTAACAGTCGTTACAGTGCCCCAGTGTTTAAGTTAAGTACTTTGGGTTTAGTTGCCCTTAATAGCCTGGATTTGGTTTTGTTTTGGTTCCGCCATTATGGTTTTTTCGTCTACCGACCTGCGTGAAATTAAATCCGCTATAACCTCCACATTCAACGAGAAATTCCTCAACGAAATTGCGGTCAAGGTTGCTGTTCTGGTAGAAAAACAGTTCGAGGAACAACTGAAATCTCATAGGCAAGCCATCGACACCCTAAGGGAACAAACAAACATCCTGGAAGCAGAAAACAGGCGACTCAGGATGTTCGTTGACCACAGGGAGCAGTTGGAGCGAAATCATAACGTTCGCATCTTTGGGATAGAACTCACGAACGGTGAGGTTTTGGACAAAAAAATTATTGATTTGTTTGTGAATAATTTGAAGGTAAATATACATAACGATGCCATAAAAAAGTGCCGTGGTATCGCTAACAAAAATGCCAATGATAACCCTCCGGCTGTTTTGATACAGTTCAATTGTGATTCCGTCAGGCGCCAGGTGCTTAAAAATCGTAACAAACTCCGTAACATGGAAATTAAAATCAAAGAAGACCTGACAAAGAGTCGGCTAAACCTATTTAGAGAAGCTATAAGCAGGTTTGCGTTTAAAAATACTTGGGTGAATAACGGTATTATTTTTGTCAAAGTCAATGATATTGTGCATACGATACGCAGTGAAAATGACCTTGAAAAAGTTAAGTAAGTACAGGTATTATTCCACATCAGTGGCACCAATATTTCGAAGGTGCATTACCTAAAAATGTAAGTACTGACCTAAGATGCTTTTTTTGAATGGCTAACGCAGTTTTTTCTTTCGATCTGGCGCCTATGGTTAGAAAAATTTGGTTTTTTGTTTTTTTTTCTTGTTTTCATGCCATATACTGTGGATATGTTGAAAAAGGGAAAATGTATTCTTTATGTGATGAATCTAATTATTTACTTTTCTTGTTATAGAATAATTGTTATTGTATTTAGTCTTTTTTACTTCATCATACTGTAATTGCTGTATGTGAGTATACAGAATAATGTATACAAATCAAAATTTTGAATATGCCGAAATTGTATGAGTACATACTATAGATTTATATTTTTTTACTCTTCTGGTTATCGTTCCATTCTGTTTCTAATTTGTATTAATAATATTGATGCGTATTTCCTTTTCATAATGGGTTCTTTTATTCTCTAGAGCAGTTAAATAAAGATTAATAGAGGCCTATTTTTTCTTAATTTCCATTATATTCATTATGTGTAGCGGTTACTTTTCTATATTTATATTTATATGTAATAATGAAAAGTGAGTAGCTCCGGGCATTACTGTTGTCGTCGCTAAGTATTTCTCTCATAGTACATTTATAATAAATTTATAATATACTTAGGATAGTTTGAATATATTTATTACTACGCGTTCTTGTATGAGCATGACTTTTGTTGTTGCAGAGAGGGTATGTTTAACCTTGGAAGGGGTGGGGCGAGTCCGGCGAGGGTTGGTGTTTGGCGGCTGCGGGGCGATGGATGATGTGGTTTTGCATCGGCGAGCACGAAGCAGTTCTGATTTCGCTGACGCAGGCAACTTTTCTGTAGGTCACTTAAATATCCGATCATTGAATACAGGGTTTGATGAGTTTTCTTCTTATGCTTCAGAATTTTCTTTTGACCTACTATGTCTTACCGAAACATGGTTAAATACTGAAGATCAGAGTTATAACTATACCCTGCCAGGGTATAGACAAATAAGGCGGGATAGAGCTGGTCGGGGGCGTGGGGTAGCTATATACTTTAGAAAAAATATTAAACCAACAAAATTAAATTTGGATATCCCTCTCCTAGATGAAAATTTTGAATTCGTTGGTATTCATTTTCGAATTAATAATAAAATTTGGTTATTAATTAATATTTACCGACCTCCTTCCGGTAACATTGCTGCTTTTTTTGATACATTTGAGGACATGCTCGGTGTAGTTGCTGTTGGTTATGGCTGTCTGGTCGTCACAGGAGATTTTAACATTGATCATCTGAGTGAATCTAATCACACCAGGCGTTTTAAAAATATATTGCAGTCATTCAATCTCTCTCAAAAAATATCTGAGCCAACTAGATATAATGACATCACACGCTACTTTGATTGATATGATTATTGTATGTGAAAATTTGCTAACAGTTAAATCAGGAACCATACCAATAGACGAGAATATAACAGACCATAATTTAGTCTATTCGGTCTTTAACATTCCAAAAATAGACAGTTCTCCAAAATACGTTACTTATCGCGATTATAATAATATCCGTGAACAGTCATTTCTCTATGATGGTATGCAGCTTCCGTGGAATATTATTTATAATTGTACCAATGTAAATGAAAAGGTGAAATTATTTAATAAATATATTTTAACAATCATTGATAAACATGCTTCTCTAAAAACAAGAAAAATTAAGATAGGAATGCCTTTTGTTCCCTTGATAAAAATTAGAGATAAAGCACATAAAAAATACTTAAGATCCAAAAGAGATGAGCACCTTAGATATTATAGACAGCTAAGAAATTTCACTAAGCATGCTATTATCCGCGAAAAAGTTACCTATTTTAATCAACTAGCAAGAAAAAAACAAGAACGATTTTTGGAAAGCGGCGCGAAGGCTTAATCTGACCAACCAGAGGACTCTTACTGAACTTCCTGATAATCTTTTAAATCCATCTGAGATACATGATTTTTTTCAGATGATTGATAACATGCGAGATACTGCATCATTAAACTTGATCAGTTTTTATGAAAATAATCAAGCTGTAAATAATAATTTGGAATTTCATTTGATAGATCGGACCAGACTAATAAAAATTGTTAATTCCATTTCATCAGGTGCGATTGGAGAGGATGGCATATCCATCAAAGACATAAAATTGTGTCTTCCTTTCTGCGCAAATGCATTGATTAATATTATTAACACATGCCTTTTGGAAAATACTTACCCTTCTGTTTGGAAAAAGGCTATTGTGAAACCCATATCAAAGGTTGGCGAGCCTAAAGTACTTAAAGACCTTAGACCAATTAGTATTTTGTCCTCTATGACAAAACTTATAGAAAAGCACATTTTTGTTCAGATGTCGGAACTTTCTGAATCACAAAATATCATTTCCCAATATCAATCGAGATTTAGGAAGAATTTTAGTACAACTACAAGTTTGGTAAATATTTTAAACGATGTCCGAATGCATGAGGACCAGAAAAACGCTACTTGCATGATTTTGTTAGATTTTAGCAAAGCTTTTGATACTCTAAATCACAGAATGCTGCTGGCAAAGCTAAGCTATTTTGGATTCTCACCTAATGCTATAAGTTTTTTAAAAAGCTACCTAAGCACTCGATCAAGCTGCGTTATGATTTCTCAAGGATGCGTTTGCCTCAAATCTGAATTTAAACCTGTAAAGCAAGGTGTCCCTCAAGGGTCAATCCTTTCGCCCTTGCTGTTTAGTATTTATGTGGCAGATATGTCTGAAGCTGTTGCTTATGCAAGGCTTCATCAGTACGCCGATGAATCACAACTTTGTATTGCTATTAATAACGACAATTTAGACACAACCGAAAATCACATTAATTCAGACCTGCTAGAGGTAAACAGTTTTGCCATACGCCGCAATTTAAAACTCAATGCTTCTAAATCAAAAGCTTTAATTTTGGGATCTAATTTCAAACTTAGGAGAAATATTGAGCGTAGTTTGAATATCCTTATAAACAGTGAGATAGTCCCCATTGTTCACGAAGCAAAGAATCTAGGCGTAATCTTCGATAATGCATTATCATTTGAACCACACATAAAGAAAAAATTGACGGCAGCGTACATACGATTAAGAAATATCTCCAAACTATAAAAATGTTTACTGCCCAAGCAAAAGTATTTCCTTTGTCAGAATTTCATACTGTCGCTTTTTGACTATGGATATATAGTTTATGGGAGCTCGTTGGCGTATACTACTAAAAATGCGATACAAAAATTGAAGAACGCCTGCATGCGATTTTCATTCAACATACCTTATCGTAACCACATAACACCTTACCTAAACAATTTGTCTATACTAAATATGCTAAATCGCAGGAAACATCATTTATTTAATTTCATCTATAGAATAATAAAAACAGGAAAACCTCCGTATTTGAAAAATGAGCTTTTAACTTTTAATCATTATTACGGGACAAGACATAACCAGAATTTTTTTATTACTCCTCGATATAGATCTGCAGCATTTCAACGTTCTTTTTCATTTCTTGCAGTTAAAATGTGGAACAGTCTAAATAATGATGTAAAGGTAATGTCACAAAGAGTGTTCTCAAAGTATATAATGGCCATGCTTCTTCAGGATCGATAATACAATAATGAGTGTGATTGTGCACGGATACTTGTTGTCAAGTTTATTTTTTCAAATTTATCTTTTTATTAAGATGGAGAAGCGAGCATGTGATGATAGATGTTGTATGTGTGTGTAGATGTATTTCGGTGTTGTTAACTGTATGAGGGTTCGTCGGTGTGCCGCGACCGTTGCTTTCTGCCGCTCTTCGCCCCCTCTCCGGTGCTCCCCACCCGTCGGAATGTTGACTTTTTAAGTGAGTAAATACATTTTTTTTTCTTCTGCAATATCAATGGTTCATGCTCGTAATGAATAAAATCATTAAATTCCAGTATATTGTTTGTATATTGTATGTGTAAAATTAGTGTAACACAGGGCATTTTCACACCCACCCTACTTATGTAAGGTTGGGTGTTAACGGTCATTTGGTCGAGGATCCTTTTTGCCAAAAATATTGTGTGTATTTTCTATAATACAGTAAATATAATGTTTTTTTTTGTTTTTCTTTTTTGGCAAATACATGTATTTTGAATTTGAATTTGAATTTGAATTAAGTGTGAGACAATCAATGTGGTTTCTGCGTCTGCTGATTTCATTTTCTGTTGGTGCGGTATGATTTCGGGCAGAGACGTACTTAGCCCTTCTCGCCAACTGGAGAGTGAGTACTTTTTCCATTATTTTTTTTTACTTGGTCGCCCTGGTTTCACTACACATTACCTTTGTTATTTCAAGGGTAGTTGTTTCTGAAAAGGAAAACCCCAACTTTGCGGACACCCTGTATAGTCAAACATGTCAAAATTTAGCTTAACACGTTCGCTGCGTATCTCGAATATAGTACCCTTCCCAAAACCTGAACTATTTTTTTCAAAGAATTATAATGAATCATCTATTCAAAGACCAAAACAAATCATTAGCGATATTTTCACGAGTTACAACCTGTCAATAATGACGTGTCGTACATAGGCGATATCAGCACTGCACTGGGAAACAAAATGTCGCCGATGAACGACACACGCAGCGAACGTGTTAAAAGGTACTGAGTCCGGCCCTGGATTTTTTAACCGTCCGGATAGATTCACGTCACTCCTAGGTTACTTTCTTATTGTACAATACTCCATCAAAATCGGTTGAATAGTGCCTGAGATATGTGATATTAAACATTTTGCGCGGCTAGGTAACCCCCAAAAAAATTTTTTTTATTTTTAGACATAAAATGCTGACGGTCCAAGCTACTACTCATTTGTCCGATTTCTCCCGGAATACTAAGCGCCATATTAATAGCAAATTAAACTGCTCAAAGTTTGTCTGGTACTTCAAGCTCGAGTAATCAGCGTAAGCCCTACTTTGTTTAAAGAAGCATCAAG